ACTAAGCTTCTATCTTCAGTGCTACTTGCAAAAACTAAAAAGCAGAAAATCATTTTCATTTTTAAATGGCTGGGATTAATTAAAGCAACCAAAGTGTTACTGTTACACAAAGTTTAGTAAAACTATGAGAGAATACTACTAATAACATTTGTAAATTATCCAAAATGATTTCTTTATTGAGATTAAGTAACTACATAGACTTCACAGTTCTATGGCATACTTATATGTAGCTAAAGTCACAAACACATTTTAACATTCACAATGATGAGCATCACCATTCTAATCTACAAAGCTTATGTATGAATAAAGAAAAATACAAAAACCTTGTTTTACAAAAGAAAAACTTTAAAGTCTACATACATTAACAATAAAACCATTTCTTCCAGGTAACAAGTAAAAGTGTAAAGGCATACCACTGAGGTTTTTTTCTCTAAGTAGCCAGGAATGAAAGAATGTTTAATATCTACGACGTTTATTAGGGCCTTCAAAGTTGCCCCCTTGGCTTCCTCTACCAAAACCACCAGGACCACCACTAACAGGACCTACACCACTCATTGGTGCTTGAGGGGTTTCAGAACCTGTTCTACTCCCCATAGGTGATCCCATCTGAGATGATGGTCCTTGAGGAAATCTATCATTGTGCTATAATACCCACATAATAAATATGAAGTCCATTTGGAACACGCCAAATGTTAAGTGACAAGAAAAATTGGCAAAATCCCAAGTGGTGGTGTCATGAAGTTCAGCAGAAAGTCCAGCAGAATCAGGATCACACATAGAAGGAAGAAAGGAGCAATTTAATTAGTTACTATGTTTTAAAAAAAAGGGAAAAAAAAAGCATCTGAAGAGTTACAATTGCTAATGCTATGCCCCAATTTCATGAAAAAAGAACTGATTTTAAGAAGTAAGCAAGTGCCATTTTAAGCCTAATCAGTATTACAGTACTGTTCTGATCTCTCTTTTTCTTAAAAGCTTATACTGCATATAACTGTGCTGTGTAATAAAAAATATATTTTTTTTTAAATAAAAGATAAAACTGGGGAGCAGCATCACATTGAAAAACATTTAAAAAATTTCAACAGCAATGCTTTTAACAAAGAAAGTACTAGTACAGAGTTATAATTTCAGTATTAAAACTTTAGAGGTGTTTTTCCAGAAAGACTATTAATGGGAAAATATAGTTTTTAAAAACTGACAATATACTAATATGTACTACTAATAGCACAATTAAATAAACATCTGAATCCTATGCTTTGGAAAACTTTACAATAATAACAACATATGTTAATCTCAAAGGTTGACCAGAACTCCCTACATGCAGTAGTAAAATGTCACTGTGAAAAAGACCAAAGGTAACATTTAAATAAAGGTTACAATTTCAGGGGGATGGGTGGGAAAATGGACCAGTTAATATTATTTTAAGTTACTAAAGATGATTATAGGCTACAGAAAAACTTAACCAAAGTAGTCTAAGTTTTTACTTAGCTTTTAGACATTTTACTATAAAATAAAGCCTCCAGAGACGGAAACAAGTACACTAATTATATATCATGCGCCATCTGATCATAGTAGGTACTATGGCACTGCCTTTTTATCTCTGTACACACTCATTAAAAAAAAAAAAACTGTTAGCATGTCCAATTTTTCCAAATTTTTGTAAGACTGCATTTAAAGTAAATAAATTTTAAAATGATGAAACACTGTATCCATCAATTCTAAGACGCACATTCACTTTTAACATCTCTGAAATCAGTATGGATTTACAGTTGATGGCATGTCTGAATTTAATTGGCAGTGCTTTTTCTTTCTTAGCAGCAATGGCGCCTTAACATTTGTGGTAGTTCCAAAACTAAACTGCCTTTTCCAAAATATACAATCAACCAATTTTCCTTTTCTAAATGTTATTTAGAACAACCATTAACAAAAACCAAATGAAAAAATGTTCTGCCAAGAGCCTCATTTAAACAGTGATAGATTTTAAGGAAAATGAGAAGTTATCAGTCTTGCTACTGGTATTCAAGTAAAATAAGAACTACTGAAAAATTTTGCTTTTATAACTACTTAACCCACACAAAGATATCTTCACACTGTCAAATCAAGACATAAACTGTAGGCTTTAAAATTTTGTAACAAATAATGAATAATTCTATAAGACTGCAAAATGTAAATTTAAAATACACTTTAAAACTTTAATGTACATTATTTTATAGTTAGAATAAGTTCCCTGAAATTAATCGTAAATGGTCTTTTTATTAAAAATGTTTACTGAAAATGTGTTTTCACACATACTGGAGTTTCATTCCTCACCAAAGGTAAGGAGTCCACAGAGGAAAAGAACACAATCTTAAAATACTTGACCTTTACAGTGGATACTGGTAAGAGGTGGATACATACTAAAAGCAATATAAAAATAACTGTAATTAACATGTATCTGCCATATACTTGAGTACAAAAGCATGCCATGAATGGTAAATATAACTCTTGTGATACGTAAAAACTGCCTCTCATAAGTCAATATAACTTCACAAAATTACGTTTTCTTCACTGCATATTGACCTTTACCGCCAAAACAAATGATGCCAAATTATGTTAAGTGTGAAGTTACCTTTGGGGCAGAAAAGTATATATTACTGAATATAATCAAAATAATGTTTATGATACATTACCACTGCTCCATTATCTGGCATCATTGGAGTTCCCATATTTGCAGCTCCTTCTGGTCCCATGGCAGGACCAGGACCCATTGGTGGGCCAGGTATAGTTCCTCTGTTGTTCATATTCATACCCATCATTGGAGGAGGACCTTGGTTACCAGCAGGTGCTGGGCTAAATGCATCTACGCAAAACAATCTATACTTAGAGCTGTCCTATCTTAGTTTAGTAAACATTAAAAATTTAACAATACTTATGCAAACTATATAACAAGACTATCATAAAATTATTTTCCTTCTTTGAGAATGGGACACTTAATTATCTACTCTGTAATAGAGCATTACCTACACTATAGAATTTTCATCCCAAAATCAAATGTACATAAAACAAATGAGACAACTATCAACTATTTTAGAATATTTGAGACTGTCAAAGTTTTGAAAGTTTTTTAAAAAATGAGTATTACTTGCTACAGTCTGCTTTTTAACTAACTACTCTCTTAACAATGGTAACTATACCTTATAAATTAACGGCAAAGGATTAGCACTTGGCAAATACAAATATGTATATGAAGTTCACTAAAACTAACCTCTTGACTTTAATGTAAGTTACAAAACATACCCCTAAATTACAGGAGGTACTATTTTTTAACTTTAAAATTTACAGAAATAGGCAATCTAAACAACTAAAAAGGGTTGTGATGACAAAGCTTATTTTTTAAAAGCATATATATATAGATAAAATATTAATAGAGCTATATGAATTTTTTTGACATGTTAAAAATTCTGGAAATGGGGACAATCAGACATACTTCAAATTTTTTCATCAAAAAGATATCCACCCGGCCTCATGTTAATTGCAATAATTTTTGAGCTGAAATATTGTATTTATAATGGCTTCAAATACAACATTTTTAGGTATCTTCTTTGAATTTTTTAATTTTTAAAGTACTCATACTTCTTTTCATTAAAAATTCATAACAAAGACTAACTCCAACTTAAAGAGTTTTCTTCTAGTATTTCATTCTATAGGTCAATTTTATGACACTCAGAACTCAATTTCTCAAGAACACATTATAACAGGAGATGATATCTCCATTCAAACCCAGAATTCTACACAGTATCTAATGCAGCTGACCTCTACATAGGACTGAGCCCAGGGAGGAGCTGGGAGGAAAAAGTCTTACTCCCTACCAGTCCCTGGCAATATATACACTACCACTCGTTCTCAACCTAATCCCCAGGAACCTACCACTTCATGGGAAGAAATTACTTCCTTAATCCCAAAATGTTCTTGCTTATTGATAAATCGAACATTATAACTATCCAAGAATATTTCTATTCCCTTAGCATAGCTATAAATAAAAATTTTTACTAGAACTCCATGACATGTCCCACATGGAAATGAGGAAGAATGGAGACACTATCTATAAGGAATCTTAACTTTCCCTAAAAAGAACAGATCAAGGATTAGGTTTTTCTTCTCTTTTTAGTAAAACATAATTGTTACATTTAACTTGCAAGACTCAAATATAACTATACAACTATGGGTATAATAAAGTAAATAAAAAATAACATTTCCAACTATCAGTATTGTTTCTAGTAATTAAGCTTTCTATCACACAGATATAATTAAACTAAATTTAAAGATCTAAGAAACGTTAGAATTATCTGGTCCCCTGAAAAGCAGTTTTATAATCCATGTTTCGCTTGGTAGACAGACTGGTGATAAACCAGAAAACCTATTGCCACATTCTAACAATATAACTTGATAGGATATGACAATTTAATGATTCAACAGTGGCATTCAACTGCATGATAATGATTCATAACTCCAGTAAACCATTAGGACAAAGTCTCAGATTGAATAAAATGTATACAGGAGAAAAGTAAATGGACTGGACTTAAGGGGAGTTGAGAAAGTGCTCAACTGTAATACAGTTCTCCGATGAAATAAAATGCCATAAAAATTTTTAGTTCTCTTAAATTACTAACTAAATAAGGAATCTAAAGGTACACTCTCATTATTCTTCTGATGAAGTTGCTAACTAAAATAGAATGTTTTCAAGGTCTCGGCAACATCAGAAATACTTCATTTGCTTCTAATGTTAATGACAATCTAATAATTATAATGGCATTGCCAAGTACCTACAACCCATAACCTCACACTATAACCCTTAAAACCACTTGGATTATATTATACACCATTCTACAATTTACTTTGAAAAGACATAAAATTGAACTATTGGTACATTACTATATATTCAACTGTGTCTTATATACTAGAACTGTGCCTATAGAACTTATGTATTTTGTTCACCAATTAATTCATGTATCCATTGTAACTAACTTCACAATTAAGATCTTTATAGGTAAGGGCCATGTATCATGCTTCCTTTGTATACCAGAGATGCTCAGTAACTTCTTACTGGTAAGAAAAATGACCAAATTAATAGCAATAAACAATTTTAGATGATCTGATTGGAAGTAGCAAATAAACTGCATGAGAAATAGGGAAAAAGGTTGATCACAGAAAATGTTCATTCCACATATTAGATGCTTTAAGATTTTTTTACTCCATACACTATATATCCTAAGTACTACATGCTAATGGTAATGTAATCTTTACAACAATATGTACATTTTGAGTTACGTGAAAATTTTAATTTTGTGACAGCTTCTGTGGGACAATATGAAATTAATATATTAAAAATTTATCTGATTTTTAAGTGTATGACATTTCAAATTTACTGTTTCCCTCAATAGTGGAGAAGCTAATGTAGGCACTTTCTTCAAAACTTTACATCGACTCTAAAGATATGCATCCGCCCAGATGTAAAAGACACATCTCATTTCCTTGACATGTCACAGACGCCTCCGAACAGTGCACTTCTGTGCACAATATGGTAGGTTAGGGCAAAATAAGCTAAACATTCAGAAAAATGAATAAAAGTAACTCCACTTACACAAAAGGTTACCTTACCAATAAAAATTTATAAAATACTCTCAAGAAGTTTAAAAACACTACACACTCAGAAACTATCAAACTTCTAAGAAAGGTTAAAAGAGGCAATTTGAAAGCATGAAATTTGATTTTTTAAAAATGCAACAATATAGCTGCATTACACCATGGAATGACTGAACAGGTTTCAGGTTCTAACAAAACCTAGTTATAGGTTTCTTTCATTAAATCTCTTAAAACATAATATACCTTTTAGCCTTCAATGAAACAAAATTCTTCCTTAGCATATTATTTTTAATATACTTGTATTTTTTTTCAACTTAATAAATATAAGAGATTTCACCATTACAAACGTTGGTTCCAAATTTTAGTTTGTTACTGATACGTAGATACCACAAACAGCATGTACAATTACCCAAAGAATTACAAGTTACAGAAGGCTTTTGCTTCAAATCCCTACCTCCCATGTTTATTGCTCCACGGGGACCCATATCACCCATTCTCATTTCCTGTTCTCTCTGTAAGTAAGCATAGTTGTCACAGTCAACCTATCGATCTTATGACTTTACATTTCCCATCTAAAATCAAAAAGAAAAGAATAAATTGGGACATCACTTTCCATTTAAAAAAATTAAAAATTTCCAACATCACTTACTTATTAAGAACACTGAAAAGAAACTTCAATCTCCCATGTCTGATATACCACAGAGCTTAGAGCACTCAGTTTATACTACTAGATTATCAATGTGTCAGATTACATAAAATCTACAGAATGTTTTTAATGTTCAATAGAGCAAAGACGTATGCCTAGATTCCAAAAAAAGAAAAATCTAATATTAATAACCACCAGGGCCAATTATTTTTTCCTCCCAGGACACTGAAGTCTTAAAACAAAAAGACCATTAACCCTTTTATATTCAAATGTATTCAAACATCCAACACAAACAGCTGTGGGGCACTAAGCTAAAAATAAAGTTATATGGACAATTTTCATTGTTAATACATCTTTGCATTTTTATTCAAATACTTGAGCATTGTTTCACCCAAGACCTAAAGATTTGCCATGAAAAGTCCCCATGACGCACAAACAGTTGTTAAAAGTTCAACATAACACTGCTTCCTTTATTTGAACAAGGGTTTTGCTTGGAAATCTAAATAAAAGTGTTATTACACAGTCGGCAAGTTCTGAAACAAAATGCTCTTGAGGTTAACTGTGATACAAAAGATCATGCAAATGACAAACTTTTAAATTTCAGTAAAATTCAACTACTTCGAAAAACTAATTCATTAACAGTAATATTATTAGTATTAGTTATTAATTCTGTATAACTATAGAATTAACGTCGATGAAATCTCTAGGTGAAATTACTCAACATATTGTAATTCAAATTTGCACTATTATTTAATGACCTTTTCCATTATCAGACCAGTGTGTTAAATGTAGCAATCACAAAACACATTCTGAGACAAAAGTAGCAATGTCTAAAACTTTAAAAAAAAAAAAAAAAGCACAATTTTTCTTTTAAAAGCAGTTCTATTAAAATGTGCTTAAAATTCCATTTAGTAATACAAAATATCAGTGAAAAGCACCTATAAAAGCTAGGGAAAAAAGGAAAGAAAAGCCTATGGTATATGGTAGATAAATGCCACTAAGCAGCTAATCAACTGCCCATATCTAACCTAATGGACATGCCTCAAATTGTAACCTTTAATGAGCTGTGGTAAAAAACAAAACAAAACAAAACACATCACTTACACAGCATCATAAAGAAATGTTTGTCACATTATGTAGAAAATGTAAATCCCAAAACTTTCTCAAAGCTATTTTTTTTAAACTTGCCTAAAACTAAATTTGTCTCTTCTCATCAAATGTTTGGCTAGTGATGGATACTACTAACAAGCAAAACAGCTAGACTATTTCATAGAACGGATTTCTGATGAAGTCATATGGAAAATACTACTTTATGATCACACTTAACACTATCATCAATAAATCAAATCCAAGTTGTCATTTCCTCATCACTAGAACCTGATAAAATGTAGACTGCCTTCAGCATATCCAAAATCATCCAGGTATTATTTATAGCAGACACCTGTTATTGAAAAGCTGGTTCCATTTCAGCACCACAGTAAAATACACGGATATTTTGATCATGACATCTTTGGGGAACAAGGGTTTAATTTTTATTTTTACTTCTGGATTTGCCTTAACTATGAAAGATGAAGAATGCAATATCTAACCAACAGAGGGTAATTAAGATATGATATGAATTTGTATTCATATTGTTTGCATTTGTATTCATATTCTTATTGTTTGAGACTTCAATTTTCAAATCCCCCTTAAGTTTTCTGACATCCTAACTGGATGCCTGTGATTCACTGGTGGAGGGCAAAGAAGGAGATGTTTTTATTATCTCCTCAGTATTTCATCTGTACCTATCATTTTCCAAAATAACAGTATTTATTAGCTTTATTATTCACAAAATTCAGTACTTTTTAAATTATTCTATTATTCTATTTTCTTCATTAATAGAATTCTGAAGAGATTAATATGCTAAATACATTTATGGATTTTTTTTAAAGAAGCTTTTATTTATTAAATAATCTCTACACCCAGCATGGGGCTCTAACTTACGACCCCAAGATCAAGAGTCACATGGTCTACTGACTGAGCCAGCCAGGTGCCCCAAGACTTACGGTTTTTAAAGTCAATTTATTCAACAGTGGCCATAACATTCCCTTTCTGATGCTCTATTAGAAACTGGTTCCAGGGGCATGTGGCTAGCTCAGTCAGAAGAGCATGCGACTCTTGGATCTCAGGGTTGTGGGTTCAAGCCCCACGCTGGGTGTAGAAATCACTTAAAAAATCTTAAAAAAAGAAACAACTGGTTTTCCAGTTTTAAAATATCTTTCTTTAAATGAGATAATCAGAATGTCTTACAATAATACATGCTAATGTAGCATATCACTGTGCTAAAATACCTATATATATAAAAGCATTTTTCACTAAATACACATACACTCCATTTATTTAATAGTGTTGATGCTTCCTTAAAGAAAATTACTAAGTACTATTTTATACAGCTTCACATATTAAGAAAAAGAAATAGTATAATTGGATGATAGATCATTTTTAAACTATTTTAGAAGGAGCAAAAGAAGTTTTCAACTTCCTAGTCCTATCTTTTTTTTTTTAAAGATTTTATTTATTGGTCAGAGGGAGAGAGAAAGAGAGAGCACAAGCAAGAGGAGCGGCAGGCAGAGCAGGCAAGAGAAAAGCAGGCTCCTGGCTGAGCAAGGAGTCCAATGCGGGACTTGATCCCAGGACCCAGGGATCATGACCAGAGCCGAAAGCAGACGCCCAAGTGACTGAGCCACCCAGGAGTCCCTTCCTAGTCATATCTTAAGATTACTGTCATTTTTATCAAAATCCACTGCTACATACTTCAGGTAAAATGCAAGGGTCAGAGATTATATTTAAAGGTAGTGGTTAGCAATGAATATTAAGACAGTACTTCTCATTATAACTTGATTTATCAAATATCAGTAAGGAGAAACTTGGAAGTTCACTATTAACTGTGTACCCACCTAAAAAGCAATACACAAGACTCTCACTTCTATGAATTCTAATATTTGAAATTAGAACTGGTGCATAATATACATGGTATTTTTGGAATACAAATTTTAATGCTTTATTGCTTTACACCAAAAATTAGAGTTACAATTTAACATGAAACAACTTAAAGGTAAACAAAATCTCGAAAGACTGCACTGCAATAAGATAATAAAGCTATGATTAAAACTTGGTTTAATTAATTCAATTACTCTTCATAGCAACCCTATAAAGTAGGTCTACTGTTATCCTATTTTAGAGATCATAAAACTGAGGCACAGCACTGTTAAATAACTTACTCAAGGTTGAACTGACCTAAAAAATTCTGCCAAGAGAGTTCATTAAGTTTTTACCTTCACAAAACACCTTCACTTTTTTCAAGGATTCCAACAAAGCCTAACAAAAGGCGAGATTTTTAATTTATTCTTATTATATTCATAAGTCGTGCCTTTCCATTAAAAGAATTATGCATATGTATTCCTGAGCTTGTCACTGAAGTATGCTTAAATTCACAGCTGACCAAAAAAGCAAGCAAAGTATGACTGATTTCCAGAACCACTTATCAAAGCAGCATTCCATTAAAACAATGGATCTCAGAGTGTGGCTGATGGGAGTACTGAGTCCGCAAGACCCTTTCAGGAAGTGTACACATTCAAAACTGTTTCATGTCTTACTAAACATTAGAACACAATTATAAAACTATCATCTAACTGGGCTTTTCAGTCTATTAACATTTGTAGGGATGGTGTACAAGCAATTGGAGGCAAAAATCTTGGTATTTTAGCACAAATCGAAGCACTTACACTCAATTTTTACTAGTAACTATCATTGTTACAAGGGAGCAGCGGGCAGGACAGCAGAGGAGAGGCTGCTGCCCACACAACTAGTTTTAAAATTTCAACTAGAATATGTAGATGAATACGTACAGGAAGCAGTTAAAATTATTTTTATTGAATCACTACATGTCTTTTTAATTATGCAACAAAACAGGATATATACATAAAGCACTTCTGCTGCATTCTGAAATACGGTAGTCCTTCAAGAAAAACATTCTTATGACGGGGTTGTAAACGGAACAAGACAGCATCTGACAACTATGATTACTGACTTGTGTACAGGCGTCCCTTGTTTTTCAAAAGTGTGCATTACGCCACTTGGCTTTTATAAAAGACCTACATTTGTAGTATCTGTTTTTGCTAACCAAAACAGGATTTTCGCTTTTATGGAAAAAGGCAAAAAGTGAATATAAAGTTGTGTGTTTTGCAGCAAGTTATTTTAGAGGCACCACAAACCTAGAGCAACGAAAAGTGCTACCACCAAGCTCCATCCCTGAGAATATTCTTAGCATCTCTGGATCAAGCTGCCATAGCTTTGAACTATGTGTGAACATCTGCGCTTTATCTAGATTTATTCTGTGCATCAGTTAGCAAGATGTGTACTAAAGTCTCAGAGAAGCCTAAGAGGTTATAATTTGGGTTCAGAAACTTTCCAAACATTTTTTATATAAAAATGTTAACTGCTTCTTCAGTTGATGCCATTTTGGCTTACAAAAGGTATCATAGGAATGTTATACTTTGGGATAGCATTTGGCAGACATTTTCTGACAAGATCAGTGGTTGATATTAAGAAATGTAATTTGTTTTTAATTCTGTGTAATAAAATACATTAAAATTTAGAAGATGTGTATAACTCAATGGATCAGTATTTTTCTAATGTTTGGTATATGACATTACAAAATCATGCATGGGTAAAAAAATAATCCATTCAAAGTTCCAGGTAGCCTAATGGATTATAATGCAATGAAAACTACTGCTTGTCAAGTTTTCTGTAGTATTTAACAAGAATATCCACAATTATCTGAAAAGGTTAAAATATACTCATCTCCATTTTACTAATTACTTATCTAAGTAAAGCCAGATTTTCTTCATGCACTTTAACCAAAAGAGCATTCTGCAACAGATGGAATGCAAAAGCAAATATGGGAAGCCAGCCATTTTCTATAAAGCCAAACATTAAACAAATTTACAAAACAGTAAAACAATAGCACTCTTCCCACTACATTAAAGTGGAACATCAAGAATATCTGCAAAAAGTAAAATAAGGCCAGTGTTCCCACTACATCCCATTTTCTTTCAACTTTCTCTCTTATTATCTAATATGGTAAACACTGATGTAACAAAACCAAACCAAAGCTCTTAGGGGTCTTCAATAATTTTTAACAGTGTAAAAAAATGTCAAAACCCAGAAATTTAAGAACCAATGCTTTTTAAGTTCCAGTCAGTATTCGTTCATGAAAATAAAAATAGAAAATTTGCACTAATGTAAAGTAACTAAACCAGTGCAGAACTTTACATTATTTTATATAGAATAGGATCTTTTCTTTAAATACCTAATACTCAAAATATCAACCTGTGAATTTAAAGATACTGTAGCTTCTTTTTTTAGATAACCAAATTTAAAGGATTCACACAGTACACAAAGATGAGTCTAAAATAAAGTAATGCCTAAGGTTTAGAAAACAGTGAACTATGTAAATAATGATTTAACATAGTATCAACTGAAACATTCTGCAATCAATGATAAAGATATATTCATCTGACACTAATTAAATTCCTGTTTGAATGAATAGTCTTAATAACCACAATCATTATTCTTTAATTTATAAAGATCTTTCACGTACATTTCTGAAG